TACGATCCTATTTTTGTAAAAATGTACGTATGTGATTATATGCATGCATAGAATATGAGAAGGTTTAAACACCCAAATGTCAACTGTGGTTTTCTCTGAGCAGTGTGATTACAGGAGAGTTTTATTTTGTTCTCTTTACTTTTCTGCATTTATTATATTGAGCATGTTTTCATGCATAATAGGATAATCAGTAAAAGGTATTAAAATATACTTCTGTTCTATTTCATGTTGTGAAAGTTAAATGTCGTACCATTCTTCCCCTTAGATGATAATTATTACTTTATATTCATCCAACTGCCTTGATCCACAACTTGGTTTAGTTGGAAGTACTTGGTAGCTTGACATTCTCACTCAGGTCACTTAGAAAAGACAAAGCTGTGAAGAGCTGTATTTAGTTCACACACCTCGCCCACCCAGAAGATACAAATTTAACTTGTTTAAAGATGGGCTGAAGATGATTGAAAAGCAGATTTGACTTTATTCTTCTACTATAACTAATGCTATTTTTATTCCACCTAAGAATTTCAGAGTAATTTCACTCCAAATATTAATACTTCCCCACTGCCATGAAATTCCTGAGAATACCTACTAAAAGCAATCAATAATAAAAACAAAAATATAAAATAATACCACTCTTAAATGTTCTGATTCACCACAGCAGTGATAGAGCTTATTGCTTTCCATAAAAAGTAACTTCTAAAAACAAAAGAAAAACAAAAACCATTCCTCATAAAATTTGGACTGGTTTAGTGAATTACTATAAAAGTACAGAGAGGCCTGCCCTTCATTGCCAGACATGTAGGGAGGTTATTCTTTCTACTTTGAGGGAAGATCTTTCTGAGCTCCTCAAATCCACAGCCAGGAATGGTTGCATGCAGCCTGGGTACATTATTTTTGATGTCCTTCAAATTTAATTATTTTCCCTAAGAACACAAAATGTTAGCAATAAATGTCACTTCAAAATACTGTTTGCTTCTCTTTGAAAAAATAAAACACTTTTTTTTTTACTTCCTTGCTTTATACTTAAAGTACAGAAAACTAAGCTGTTAATTGCAGATTAGTCATTTTCGAGGGGAGAAAAAAAGTTTGGATTCCTGTAAGGTGAAACAGAAAGGAACATACTAGATAACAATCGGGTAAGGAATATATTAATGAGAAACGGTTATTTTAAACCGTTCCTGTCCAACAAAAAATAAATCCAAAGCATATAGCATATAGCAACAGTTAAAAAAATTAAAATATTTTTTTCTAGAATAGCTATTTTTGTGTGTGTGTGTGATTTTGAAAACTTTCGGTAATACTTTTAGATTATATAGTGCTTTATTTTAATATATTAATTTAACTATAATTTTGGAGACTAAATTTTTACGTTTTTTGCTCTGGAAGGAACAGTATCATTTCTTTCTCGAAATCCTGTTGGGTAGCTTGTTGATATTACTTTGGAAATAATGGGACAAGAAAAACAGCCTGATTTGACAGAGAAGCCCATTTTAACTTTTGTTGGTAGTCACTAGGGCTTCTCACATACGTACATGTGAAAAACTTTTTTAAATGTCCAATACTTGCAAAAGCAGTTATGAAGCTTTAAAGTGTTAGCTCTCACTTGAATATGCTGAAATATCCTCCTGAGATGGCTTACTAATAATTCCTAGAGTAGTTCCCTGCCTCACACTGTCTGTTTGGGAAAGAAAAAAAAAATTATTCTGTTAACACAGCCCTTAAAATTATCATCTTCTGCCTTGTGAGGCTGGAGTTGTCATTGCCCTACTCATAGCACAGGGCACCAGTCCCTTAAGTGGTCTCCTGCATCTAGCTCTTCTCCCTCTCCAGCCCTAACCCCTATCCCTGACATTAGAATAATCTTTCTAGAACGTTAATCTGATCTGCCAGCTTAAAACACTTTGACAGGCAGCACAGTATTTCTCAAAACAATATCTGAGAACCTCTGGAAAATTTTAAATTTTATTTTTTTAATAATGATAAAAAACTCAACAAGCATACCCTTGTTCTTCCAAATAGATACCTTGTAACTGAGTACAGTGTTCAAGTTCAGGCTTATGTAGCGTGATACCAAATGTCGTACTTTCTAAGGAAGCATTTGATTCTCAAACTGATCCATGACTTGTAGCCATGTTCTCAGCGGCATTTTCTGAGATCCAGCTCTTACTTACTTTTGAGAAAGAGTGGCCCACAGGATGGGGTCCAGATGCCCCAATGTGGGTGAAGGAACCTTTACAATATGCTCTTTACTATTCCTCCCTTTGGATCTCCTTCACATCGTTCCTTGTACTTTGCATTCTAGCCCCTCAGTGACAAGCGGCCCCTAAAGAAGCTGAGCCATTTCAAGCATTTGCCTTTGTCTTGCTTAAGCTGATCTTTGCCAGTGATAACTCCTTTCTTCTCCTCCACCCATCTGGAACACTTATGCCTCTGTAGACTTAGCTTTTCTTGAAGACTTCATTCCTAGGTACAACTAAAAATTCTTACCTTGGCTGCAGTTATTGTTCATTTAGGGAATTGTGGCATCGATAAACTACCCCCAAAATTTAGTGGCTTAAAACGACAACACTTACCACACAGTTTTAGCAGGTCAGCAGTCTGGGTGTGTCTTGGCCTGAAGCCTCTGTCTCTGAATCTCCCACAGAATGGAACACTTCCTAGCAACTCATGTGGTCGTTGGCAGGATTAAGTTCTTCACAGGTTGTTGGACCAAGGCCTTAGTTCCTTGTGACCTGTTGACTGGGGCCTCTCTTGGTTCCTTGACTCACAACATTACAGCTTATTCTTTTGAGCAAGCAGAGAAGGCAAGAGAGGAGGAAGTCAGAATCTTTTGTAACCTAATCACAGAAGTGACATGTCATCGTTATTGCTGTGTTCCATTTGTTAGAAGCAAGGCACTAGGACCAGCCAGCATACCAGGGCAGGGGCTTACGTACTAGAAAGTAGAGATTACTGGGCACTAAGACGTCTTCTACCACAGCCTGCAGAAAGCCTTTGGGCAGGCCCAGGTGAGGAGCCATGGGCTGGGGGGGAGGCTGCTTGTTCTCGTTTAGTCTTATGTCCCTGCCTCTCATGGTGCAGGCATCTCGATGCCGTAACTGTGATTCCAAGGTTGAAAGAGAGGTGTATTTTAAATGATCTGGGTCTTAAATATCATTTGAAAGTCAACTCCCTCATCTGATCTTCAACTGAAGAAAAATGGTCTATTTTAGAGCTGGAAGAGCTCTCTGTGTTGGACTTACTAAGAAAAGGTGATATAGCTCACCAAGACAGTGCATTCTTAAGAGATTATAAATGTAATCTTGACTACACAATTTTGGGTTTATGTTCTGGATTTAACTTCTAACCCAGAGTAAGTATTTTCAAATGTAGCACCTGTAAAACTTTGTTGCACTTTGCATGCCTTTTTTTTTTTTTTTTTAATTTATTAGATGCAACACTTTAGGGGATTTTACCTTTTTTGGGTGCTGGATATTTTTGTTTTTTTTTTTTTTTTTTTTTTTTTTGCCTGGGAGCTACTTGACTGCTTGGTCCATTCCTAATTTATTTCCAGCATTAACACTTTGCCTGGTACTTAGGCTCTCAATATTCTTTTTAAAAATATGTACAAACTTGATATTTTTTCTTTCTTTAAAAATATATATATAAATCTAGCCCTAAATTTACTAAGCATTGATAGGGTTTTCATAGTCAAGAATTACGGATCTTTCTCTGGCATAAATGCTTAAAAATAATGACCTGAGTCTATGATACCTATAATTTCTGTGTTATTTTACTCATTAATTAGAGCATTAGCAATTTTTGCCCTTGAATCAAAGTTCTCTACTTTTCTCTCCATGGCTTCTAAACATTTTGTCCTTTTGAGTCAAGGGAATTGGCCTGATTTTATGATGACATTTGGGTACGATATTTAAACTGTTAAAAGTTATAAAAACGACCCTTTGGTATTAAATGTAATAAATGGCTCTGAATTGAATACATGCACAGGTTCTCTTATATGAGCCTTGTGAACCCAAACTGCTCCAGTTACATATTCTCATTGTAATTGGATTCTATGACATTCTTTCACCTCCCCAAGAGTATGCCAGGCCATGAAAATTCCTCATGCCTTGGTGTTGATATATACTTTTGAAGTTTCAAATTTCATCTCTGACTAGTGTATAGGACTTCCAGTACTGCCGGCCCAACCTAATCCTGAAGTCTCTGCAAGAAAACCAAACCAAACCAATTTTATCCCTAAGAGATTTTTTTGCAATTCTCAACGAAAGCAGGGACTAGGGTAGAATGACTTCTAGAATAGACTTATCTTTGCTCAGTGGCACCTTTACCAAAAATATTGTCTTTTCTTTACTCATAGATACTCTGCACTGGGTTAATTTGTCCTGGCTTGTATTTATCTTTGTAATTCAACAATATTGTGCTTGGATGTCTTAAATCAGACCACAAACTCCTCAATATCAGAGGTTAATTTTCTCTCCTACTGTTTTGATATCTTTGATCTCTTTTCCCATTCTATACCCACAAGAACACCACTCCAGAAATAGGAGCCAGCTGGTTTAGATCTATTGATGGTGCATAGAGTAGATCTGAGATGTGGGGCTGGAACATGTCTGGACTCTTTTAGTGAGGGATGAATGTGAGTTCCAGAGGCTTCGTAATAATACTGAGTTAACTCTCATGGGTAAAGATGTGTGCCGGCACTCCTTGGACATTTTACAAGCACCAGAGTATGTTAACTGCCATGAAATTGTACTGTAATATTTTCTAGTTGTGATTCATTCACAGTTTAATATGCTTCTAGTTCTGGTTTGACTTTTCCCTCAGGAAGAGACTAAAATCTCTTCATTATAATATAGACAGTGTACTGCACTTTGAATACAAATTTATCCATGTTCAGAGTAATTTTTCTTGTGATTGTCTCTACCCTGGAGAAGTGCCTTTAATGAATTACATACAAATTGTGTAATTTAAGAAGTTAATTTGGTTTTCTGGTTACACAGGACTAAAAACAGCCCTTGTAGAAAGAGATGATTTCTCATCAGGGACCAGCAGCAGAAGCACTAAATTGATCCATGGTGGTGTGAGATATCTTCAGAAGGCTATCATGAAGTTGGATATTGAGCAGGTAATTGTGTATGCTGGTTGTTAAACAAAAATTGCGACTATGCTTTTTTCTACCCAATTAAATCAGTTTTTTATTTTTATTTTATTTTATTTTTTTTATGGTTTTTCACATTTCTTCCTGTTGAAAATACCTATTCAGTGTATTCTGCTGGAATGTCTTTCAGGAGAGGTACCTGTTCTTTCCTGTAGTATTTTGTTTATGGGTGATCAGAGGCTTTTTCTACACAGGCATGTCAAAGTAGCAGATTTATAAAATCACTTTCAGATGTGTTGCTTTTAACAATTGTGATTGTTTCTTTATTCCTTTTTTTCCCCCCTTTTTGCCAGTAGCCACCAAATTGCTACCTTCCATGCAGTTTCAGGGGAGCTGTGTTGTAATACAGGAGGAGTTTTAAATTGATCCTCTTAACTGCAACTGCAGTCATATGTTCATATTGTCACTGACATAGTCTTAAAGAAAAGATGATCTGAGTCATGCTTTTCTTATGTCACACTTTATTGTGTCCAGTCTGCCACCATTTGAAAACTGCCAAGGCAGTGTGGAAGATGACATTTCCCGGGGGGTAAAAAAAAATCAACTGAACTCCCTATCTGCTTTTTGTATATGAAAAACACAGCATCACTAACTTGACATTGTCAGTTGTGAATCTGTCCTCTTTTCTTAGGTGTCTCTTTGACATCATGATGGCTCAAAGGAAAAGAGCATAGGATTTAGAATCAGATGACTTGTGATGTGTTCCAGCTTACTTATTCAATTTCTATGAACCTCAGTTTTCTCATTGGTAAAATCAGAAAGGCATAATGAGGACCAAAGGAGTTACGAGAGAAGCTTATTTATTTATTTATTTATTTATTTATTTTTTTATCTATTTATTTTTAATAATAGTCTATAAAATACTGTACAACTTCTAAGTATTATCTCTGCCTGGTAGTGGAGACAAGAAGAAAACATTTAGCGTGAATAGAACAATCTGTTATCTCTTACACGGGAAAATATAGGGGACTGAGAAAAGGGACAATACAGAGAATGCAAGATAAATTGTTAGAGTAATCTTGTAACTCAAGTCGGGAAAATATCTTACACCTGGGAACTCTGACAGCATGTTTTTTCTCCTATGCAAATACAGTTAAGGTTCTAAAAAATCTTTCAGGTTGACAGCATGATGTATTATTAGAAATTTGATTAGGAGGGAGCTATCCTTGCTCAGAGGTAGAGAGGTTTCTGTGTATCAATCAGTTGGCAGGGTGTCTATTTGCCATTTGAAAATATTATGATCTGTTACTGCCAAACTAATTTTCTCTGTTTTGCTTTTTAGTATAGGATGGTGAAAGAAGCCCTTCACGAGCGTGCCAACCTACTAGAAATTGCTCCCCATTTATCAGCTCCGTTGCCTATAATGCTTCCAATTTATAAGTAAGCATTTTGATATCATCTATATACATTTGTTTTTCTGAGGTCAATAGAACAACACAGTTTTAATGGAAGTACTCCTTCAAGGTGTATTTCTTAATGTAGTTTTAATTGGTCCTAATCTTTAACCCCTTTTAAATATTTTCCTCTGTTGTATTTGAAAGCGTGGCTTTTCCTAAATAACTCTCTACTGATCTACCTCTAAGTGCTACATCTTGAAGCCAAAGGAAATTGCGTCCTGTATTTTTAATTAGTATCTCTTACTGTAATTTTTAACAGTATATAGAGGAGGAGTTGCATTTGCATTGGGAAACTTAAGAGAATCGTTTGAACCTAACGTGTACCAACTCCGAACCTAAACCATTTGGGGTCATTTTAAATTTCCAAGTCAATCAAAACTGAAATTTTGTTTGGAGGTGTCAGATTATATATTATAAAACCCAGTTTTCCTAATATTGTCAGAGCATCCATGAAGTTGCCTTAAATTGGAATATAGATACTATGAAAAAGTGGATTGCATAACTCTGTTAGCCACATGAGTGTTGTGGGGGCCTAGAAACAGATTTTATAATTTATGTCCGTATTTTCGTCATTGGTTGTTTAGAACATCTTAAGCCGGTGATTCCCTACTCTGGGTGTCCATTAGAGTCATCCAGGTTCCCATCCTAGCCTAGTTATATCAACCTCTAGACATATGAAGCCCACGCATCTGTATTTATTTTTGATGCTCCCCAGAGAATTCTAATATGCAGCCAGGTCAAGAACAACTGCCTTAGAAGTGATTCATTTAAAGTCTCACCAATTCATTTATTTATAGAGTTCAGTTAGGCTGGTGTCAGAAATAGTCATGGCTTTTCTCCTGTTTCTTTTGCAGTATGTATGCTTCTAGACATACTTTGCTTTTCTTAAATGAAAAGTATCTTACAACTTAAAGTAACATTCTGTAATGTTATACTCTGTTTCTGTTTCTAAAGAAACCTTTCTCCTTATTTACGCTGCAGGTGGTGGCAGTTACCTTACTACTGGGTGGGAATCAAGCTGTATGATTTAGTAGCAGGAAGTAATTGTCTGAAAAGCAGTTATGTCCTCAGCAAATCAAGAGCCCTGGAACATTTCCCAATGCTCCAGAAGGACAAACTGGTAGGAGCAATTGTCTACTATGATGGTATGTGACTTTTTCTTCTTTCTACTTTTCTCTCACTCGTGACCCTTACTGTATATTCTTAATGAAATGGTTTTACATTCTTAATGTTAATGCAAACACATGCACAGATGCACTCACCATTTTCTCTGAATACTAGCTAGAAAACTGCGGCCTGTTTTGCTTTTAATATCGTTTATTTTTGTATATTTCTTTTCTTTTTTAATTTCTACCTTGTATCTCATGGTTGGTTTGGTCTATTTTCCATCATTATGAATTTAGACCCCACCTTCATGCCATTTAATTTGTTATATGTTTTCCAGTGAACACTTGCCTTATGAATATATTATGATGTTGAAAGCAGCTGAGAATCTGTTAGGTTTTCTAAATGAAACCTCCATTTTCAAGGGGTTATAAACCTAGAGAAAAATGCCCCTGGGCTGAAATTGACATGTTTGTATTTTGCACAGGACACAATTCTTGAACATGTAATCTATGATGAGGGTAGATGAACATTGCATTTGTTAAACCAGACCGTTAGTTTTTATTGCTTATTTCATTGTTAGATATTTTCCAGTAGTGACATTATCTAGTATCCATTTGTCATGTGATCATGTTTATTATTTGTGTGTGTGTGAGCAGTATAATTTGTACACTTTAATTTGAAGGAGCTAATCACTTAAATATATCTTCAGATGGACCACAAATACGAAACAAAATATGAAAGGCCATTTGTGAAATTTCACTACAGTTTTAAAGGGTGTATAGAATTAGAAAATAGTCCAAGGATG